TTTCTTTTTTTTTTTTTCCTGAGACAGGGTTTCTCTGTGTAGCTTTGTGCCTTTCCTAGATCTTGTTCTGTAGACCAGGCTGGCTTTGAACTCACTGAGATCTGCCTGCCTCTGCCTCACGAGTGTTGTGATTAAAGGTGTGCGCGCCGCTGCCGCCGCCGCCACCGCAACCACCACCACCACCACCACCCGGCTCAATGTTTGTGACATTTAACCTTGAGCTTAATTTTCCTGAACTGTAAAAAGGGAATTAATTTAGAATGTATTTACTACTTTATAAAATAGTTACATTATCATTTAAATTTTTATATTTTATCCTAATGTATATAGATGTTTTGCCTGTATATATGTGTGTGTACCATGTACCATACCCATAGAGATAAGAAGAGGGTGCTGGGTCCCCTGGGACTCGGATACTGGGAATCAAACCCTGGTCCTCTGGAAGAGCATCCAGTGCTCTTAACCTCTGAGCCATCTTCCAGCCTCATTAAATTATCTTTTTAAATATCAAAGTGATAAATTTTCTGCACATAAAATATAATATAAACAAAAATGTTACAATTTAAGCACTTTTTGTTGAAATTTATGCTGTTATTTTCCATAGAATACAAATTATGTTGATATATATTTATGTAATTAAGAAAATAGCTCTAATGTGAGGAGCTTAGGAAACTATAAATTATAATCTGTACTTTTCTTTTCTTTTTTTTTTTTGGTTTGGTTTTTCGAGACAGGGTTTCTCTGTGTAGCTTTGCGCCTTTCCTGGGACTCACTTGGTAGTCCAAGCTGGCCTCGAACTCACAGAGATCCGCCTGGCTCTGCCTCCCAAGTGCTGGGATTAAAGGCATGTGCCACCACCGCCCGGCTAATCTGTACTTTTCATGTCCTATACTAAAGATGAATAATTATAGTCAGTATGAAATTTGTTTGTTTCCAGAATCTATTCCGTGAACCTAGCTCTCTTCAGGTTCCTTATAAGCAGTGAAATTTCTGGGTAGCTTTGATGTGCCCTCTGAAAATCAGTTCTCTTGTTGTCTTGAATTCTTACATTTGGAATAAGCACAAACATGGTAGCCAGACCTGGATTCAGCTTTCATCTGTGTTGCTGGCACAGAGTTACCCTGGCAAGTGCCTTGTGTCTTTAACACAGGGATAAGAATGTGTGTCTTTTGGGGTTGATGGTTAGATTT